AGGCTTATTGCATGAAACCAAGAAACTTCTCACTAAATTTTTTGAGATGAAGGACCTTGGTGATGCATCTTTTGTCTTAGGAATACAGATACTTCGAGATCGCGCTCAAGGTATCCTACGGTTATCACAAAAGGCCTACATTGAAAAGATTTTGGATAGATTTGGCATGAAGGATTGTACGTCAGGAGATACGCCCATATCTAGGGGAGACAAGTTTAGTTTTGCCCAATGCCCTAAAGGTAAGCTTGAGATGATAGAAATGACAAAGGTACCTTATGCTTCGGCAGTAGGAAGCCTTATGTATGCCCAGGTTTGTACTCGCCCTGATATAGCATTTATAGTGGGAGTGTTAGGAAGATACTTGAGCAATCCAGGAATGGATCATTGGAAAGCAGCCAAGAGGGTTATGCGGTATTTAAAGAGAACAAAAGATTATATGCTTACATATCGGAGGTCAGATCAATTAGAGATCGTCGGATATACTGACTCTGATTTTGCTGGATGCCAAAATAGTAAAAGATCCATGTCAGGTTTTGTCTACATGTTGGCTGGAGGAGCTATTTCTTGGAAGAGTGTTAAACAGACACTCGTAGCTTCCTCTACTATGGCCGCTGAATTTGTAGCTTGTTTTGAGGCATCCAACCTTGGGGTATGGCTGCGAAACTTTGTCACAGGGCTGCATATAGTGAGTGGTGTTGAAAGGCCACTGAAGATTTATTGTGACAACAGGTCAGCAGTGTTGTACTCCAACAACAACAGAAGCTCTTCAAAATCGAAGCACATCGATATAAAGTTTCTGGTTGTTAAAGAAAGAGTTCAGAGTGGTCAGATTTCCATAGAACACATAAGGACGAACTCCATGCTTGCGGATCCGCTTACTAAAGGCTTAGTGCCTAAGGTCTTTCACGAGCATACTGCTCATATGGGTGTTGTTTTGTTCGATGACACTACGGTTTAGTGGGAGTTCTTTATGTTAGTGTTCTATGAAGATTAAATTTTCTGCAGAATAAAGAATTCAATGATATTTTCCCTCTGAATGTATTATATTTTGTGCTTGTGTTTCTGCTTTGTGTATGCAGAAAATTTAGGATTGATCTCATAAAGATTAAAGTAGGACCAGTTGGAAATAGGCATGGTAAGATCACATTGCATGTAATTTCCATGCCACTCATCCATACTTGATCTATGTCATTGAATATATTGGTGCGATGACCATGGAAGGTTTAGTTACGCTTGAAAGTGACAAAAGCCGCCATGATCTCATATTGATATAGGAGGTGGACCAGATTGTATCTAAGGAGGAATCTAAAGAAAAATAGCATACAGTTGCGCACTAAAGATATACGATATAATTATCTCAAGTTAATATGTGGCCCAAGTGGGAGATTGTTAGGAAATTATATTTTCTAATAATTATTGTGGGTCACATATTATATTAATAATTATATTGTGCTATTTATATATATTGGGTAAATTAAAGTGATCGGTTAAATATTCGCAAATAGATTCCTAAGTGAGTATGGGCTGAATGAGTGGATACCGGTGTTGGGTCAACTAGGTATAATGGGAGCTTATCGGCCCGACAATAAAGATAAAAACACTATATAAGGGTTATGGTCCCCAATACGTTAAATGAACAACCCTAGTTTCTCTTCCCCATCAAGAGAGAGACGGCACACTAAGGAATAAGGTTTTAGGGTGATTTGACTGAGGAAGACTACAAACCCCAAGAGACAAGATCAAAGTTATTCCGCTGCAATGGAGACAGGTATTCCCCCACCTTTATGTTGTTCTTATTTTTCTTTATGATTTGGTATGATGGATCTTGACTTGTGGGTGATAGTTATCACCATAAAGTTTAGAGGAATTAAAAATTCCAACACTAAGTTGTTATCTGAACTTGTGAATTCGTATGATTCTACTGAACTAGAAAATAAGGAATGCCTTGGAACCAAGCAAGATGCGTTTGTTGGAATAATAATTCCTCTTCACCTTATGATGATAACCATCACCAACAAACCAAGATCCATCATACCAAATCATAAAGGAATATTAACAAAAAGATGGAGGCATATATGTCTTCATATGCGATCTTCCTCAGTCAAATCACCCTAATCCTTATTCTTTAGTGTGTTGTCTCTTTCTTGTTAGGGAGAAAAAACTAGGGTTGTTATTTGACATATTGGAGACCATAACCCCTTATAGTGTTTTTCTTTATTGTTGGGCCAGTAAGCTCCCATTATACCTAGTTGGTCCAGCACTGGTATCCACCCATTTGTCCCACACCTACTTAGGAATCTATTTGGGTATCGTTATTTGATCACTTTAATTTACCCAATATATATTAAAAAGCATAATATAGTTATTTATACAATATGTAGCCCACAAACACATTAGGAAATATAATTTCCTAACAATCTCCCACTTGGGCAACACATTAACCTGAGATAATTATATCATATATCCTTAGTGCGCAACTGTATGCTATTTATCCTGAATTCCTCCTTAGATACAATCTGGTCCATCTCTTATATTAATATGAGATCATGGCGGCTTTTGCCACTGGTAAGCGTAACTAAACCTTCCATAGTCATTACACCAATATATTCAAAGACATAGATCAAGTATGGATGAGTGGCATGGAAATTACGTGCAATGTGATCTTCACCATGCCTATTTCCAACTGGTCCTACTTTAGTCCTTATGAGACTAGTCCTTAATTTTTTGCATACACAAAGCAGAAACACAAGCACAAAATATACACATTCAGAGGGAAAATAACATCAAAATCTTTATTCTGCAGAAAACAAACATACAAATGTTTTTACATAGAACACCAACATAAAGAACTCCCACTAAACCATAGTCTCATTAAACAACACAACACCCATATGAGCAGTATGCTTGTGAAAGACCTTAGGCATTAAGCCTTTATTAAGCGGATCAGCAAGCATGGAGTTCGTCCATGTGTGTTCTATGAAAATTTGACCACTCTGAACTCTTTTTTTAACAACCAAAAACTTTATATCGATGTGCTTTGATTTTGAAGAGCTTATGTTATTGTTGGAGCACAACACTGCTGACTTATTATCACAATAAATATTTAGTGGCTTTTCAACACCACTTATTATACGCAGCCCTGTGACAAAATTTTGCAGCCATACCCCATGGTTGGATGCCTTAAAACAAGATACAAATTCAGTAGCCATAGTAGAGAAAGCTACAAGTGTCTGCTTAACACTCTTCCAAGAAATAGCTCCTCTAGCTAACATGTAGACATAACATGACGTGGATCTTTTACTGTCTTGGCATCTAGAAAAATCGAAGTTAGAATACCCAATGATCTCTAATTCGTCTGACCTCCGATATGTGAGCATGTAATCTTTTGTTCTCTTTAAATACTGCATAACCCTCTTGGCTATTTTCCAATGATCCACTCCTGGATTGCTCAAGTATCTACCTAATACTCCCACTATAAATTTTATATTAGGGCTAGTACAAACCTGGGCATACATAAAGCTTCCAAATGCCGAAGCATAAGGTACCTTTGTCATTTCCATCATCTCAAGCTTACCTTTGGGGCATTGACAGAGACTAAACTTGTCTCCCTTAGACATGGGCGTGTCTCCTGATGTACAATCCTTCATTCCAAATCTATCCAGAATCTTTTCAATATAAGTTTTTTGTGATAACCGTAGGATACCTTGAGAGCGATCTCTAAATATATGTATTCCTAAGACAAAAGATGCATCGCCAAGATCCTTCATCTCAAAAAATTTAGTAAGAAATTTATTGGTTTCATGCAATAAGCCTATATTACTACTGGCAAGTAATATATCATCAACATATAGTATTAGGAATATGAATTTACTCCCACTGAACTTGTGGTACACACAATCTTCTACCAAGTTCACCTCAAAGTCATTGCAGATGATAACTTGATGAAATTTATGATACCACTGACGAGAAGCTTGCTTAAGGCCATAGATGGACTTCTTTAAATTGCAAACCATAGTCTTTGAATATCCAAATACAAAGTTTTTTGGTTGCACCATATAAATGGTGTCATCAATGTTACCATTGAGAAACGCTATTTTTACATCCATATGATGTAGCTCCAAATCCAAATGAGCCATAAGTGTCATTATGGTCCTAAACAGTCCTCCTAGAAACTGGAGAGAAGGTCTTTTATAGTTTATGCCTTCTTTTTGAGTGAAACCTCTAGCAACTAAATGTGTCTTATATCTTTCGATGTTGTCTTTGAAATCCCTTTTGGTTTTAAATATCCATTTACAACGGGATCCTCAGCTAAGAGGAGAGAGAAAAAAGAAAGTGAAATCCACCCTTCTTTTGTATGTGTAAAAAATTTATTTATCTCGTACAAAATGAATGAGATAAATAGAATCCGTATATATTCTTGTCATTTCTAATTTTTCTAATATTTTAATTTTTAATTACCATTATTGCACTACAGTGCTCCCAACGGCAGACAATCATACGCGTTCATCTCCAATGCTACGGCCCCTCGCCGGTTATGGCTTCTCAACACCAAAACACAAAGTAAGAACTCTTTTACGCTTCGGAATTTTCAAATTTAAGTGCAAATTCCATGTCTTTTAACCGTGAAGGCTTTGCGTCCAATTGCAAAATTAATTGAATTCTTTCACTCTGCATCTTTTGGAGATCGATGATGAATTTAGGTCTTTGTCGTTCACACCAATCTGTTAGTATTATCTTTTAATTTTCATAATCAATGTTTCAAATTTTGCGTCCAAAATAACCAAAATCCATTTTCCCACATTGATTTAATCTCAATATCTTTTCCTCTTCATTGGTTTTCTAGCAAGCAGCAATAAAAGCTGTGATTTTTTATTTTATTTTATTTTTGCTCACATTTCTGGGGTACTAACTAATTAACTGTCTTTTTTGTAACATTACAATTTCGTTGCTGTTACTTGAATCATATGCAGGTGTTCTGCTTGTAATTATAAATGATGTCACGGCGTATGTTGCTTGTTTTTTTTATGCTCATACTTATAATCACCTCTCAATTTGAGTGGAAGCAACAACTTGTGGTTGATGTTGACTCAAATTCCAGCATATCTCAAAAGCAGAAACGGATTTCAAAAGGGGTAGAAACCGTAAAGGAGAAGGTGTTAAGTTTTTCCCATGTTCCATTTTGTTTCATCTATCCCATTATCTCTCTGTTGATTTAATTGGTAGCTTCAGACTTGAGTTATGACGTAATGTAATGTCTCTTTCGAGTGGTTTTGTTATTGGATCATTATTCTGTGTTTTGATGCAAGCTGAGTTTTTTAACCTGCTGCATTCATGAAGTTACATTTTAATTATAATTGAGTGAAGAAACTGGTGAGATTATAACAAAGGTGACTTCTGAGTTTATGCTCCTTCTGTCATTGGTAGTGTTGTTGTTCGCATCAGTTTGCATGCGCTTTTATGTTAGCTTAAATCCATGAATTTCATAGTGCAGTACATGAACTTGACAATGTCAGTAGGTCTTTCTAACTTTTCTTGAACCCTGTGGAGCTATTCTCATTCTGGATTTTGTTGGAGGTTTGAAGAGGTGGTTGGTGTATGCTATTCAAAGATCACTTATAAGTTCATGAACTCATTGAATTATATAATTCCTGTCCCCAAACTTAAGAATAAAACCCTGAAAACCTGAGTTCTGAACTTTCTGAATTTCTTAGCCCAAGATAAGTGATTTTGTATCTAAAAGGAAGATTACTTGATAAACCAGATTTTATATATTGAAAGTATAAAGGAAGATTACTAGAAATAGGAAGATTACAGAAGTGTAGAAATGACAAGAAATTAAGAAGGTAAACGACAGACAATGGATGCAGTTCTAGAGGCACCCTTCTCTCCCAAGTTCCTAGCCCAATCCCAACTCTCCCATAAGCCTCCCCTTTCCTATTTGTAACCAATACCCCTGCAGAGTTAGTTAGCCACCTCAGCACCTTTTGGAGCCCCCATTCCCATGTGATTGCGCTTAGAATACACCCTCAATGGTATATTCATATCAGAGACACTTTTGGTTGTATACGCCATCTGAAAATTGTCTCAATGTAGGAATAGTGATTCTTGTGTGCCTCTTCTCAGATGGTATATGGACTGGGTTACATTGGAATGAGACTCTGTTTTGTAAGTTATCCACATAGTACTCATTTGATTATTACATTCAACCTGTTGATGAATATTACACTCAACTCTGTTTTGAAAATAAACTTTGCCGTTGCCGGGGATCAAACCCGCGTGACAGGTGGGAATACTCACCACTATACTACAACGACTTGGTGCCGAACGCAGCTAATTCCTGTTTTGATAAATTATGTGATGAGATTTGTTAAAGAGAAAAGAAAAGAAACATTTATTTTGCCCGTAGAATTTGGGAATTATATGTAAAGTCTTCTATAAGACGACTGAGTACCTTGTATTGGCTTATCTACCTTGTTTGGAACTCCGTAGTTTCTTAAACTTTGCATTACGGGAAAGGTTATATTTACAAACTTTTTGTTTACAAATTCTTACAAACTACACTATGTCTGACCAGTCATACTTTAATCAAAAGTGTATAACCGGTCAGACTTAGTGTAATTTGTAAAAAAAGTTTGTAAATAGATCATTTCCCTTGCATTATAGAAAAGTTATATATTTAAATACATTTCCCAATCTTTCTATGCGTCATGTTACGTATGCTCTCAGGACCAAAATTATTAGAAATTTTTTATTAGATCTAGGGACATATTATTTTTAGCCAGAAATTTATTGAATTCTTTCAATTGATGTTGCTTGCTGCAGATTATATTAGTGCAAGAGAAAAATATTCGAAGATTGAATGAGCTTGTGCAGCATCTCCAGGAACAACTGCAGCAGTGTAGAAACAGTAGTGTTACAACTAATGGCAGTGTAAGCCCGCTAGCCGAGCATATACTTGAGCTTGAGCAACATCAAATTTTAGAGGATTAAGTAGAGACAGCAAGTATGTTCATGGCACGTTCATCTTTATGTTCAAGTTGTAAAGTTATTTTCTTAGTTCTTTGAAAGGAAATATTGTAAAAGATTTGCTTCCCCGTGTAAATTACCATTATTATTTCCATTTCAATGCAACTCCTACATCAATGGAAATTGCAAGGTGTTTGAATGTTTTGTTAACCCATCAACAACAACAAATGGATCTGGGCCATTGTGTGCCTCTTTTTATTTTATGTTTTTGCTGGGAGTTTCATTGTGTCTTTAATATGTGAAGTTGCAGTTGGATACTCTCTACAATTTTTTTTTTTTTTTTGAGTATGAAGTTATTTCTTTAATTTTAGTTATAAGCTTATCCATGTTTCGAAAATGACTTGTTAAAAAATAAATGAAATAGTATTAATTTCTTAAGTACTAGGTAGGAGGACTAAGTTTTTCTTCGATTAAATTGGATTAAGTTAACCATCCATACACATTGTGACATTGAGATGAGAACCCTAAAAAGCATGCTAGTTAAAATCTGGATTTAAATCTTAAAATCCCGATTTTAACGATTTATTTTTGCTAAAACGATTTAGATTTCACTTAAAATCGTTTCCAATATAAAATTTCGATTTAGACATTTACTTAAGTCCCGAATTTAATATTTAAATCCCGATTTAAACTATTGGAATGATGTTAAGCAAGTTAGAAAAATTGTTGAATATAACATAGCTGATGTTTCATCCGAAGATGAATGGATTGTGGAAAATGAAGGAACTTTATCTCATGATGAAAGTTTAGATGAAGACAATTTTGAATGATGTAGTTGAAGATCACGTGGAACATAATGTCTTCGATGATAATAACTTGAATGATTTATTAGCTTAGACCCTTAGAGTGTGACAATTGTATGCAAATATATAAGGATGGTGGCAGGTAGTCTATTTTTCTTAATTTTTTTTATACATAAGCATATGTATATAAAAATTTAATTTTAGAGTGCAAGTAAAATCTACGATTTGTATTACGATTTTACGATTTATGATTTTTTATTCCTTTTTCAATTTTAGGTAAAATCCCGATTTTGACTACCTTCCTCAAGAGCATGTGTTTAAACTTAAATGCGTCAATCCTGAAACTATGCAGTAAATAATGTACAATGGTGACATGCTGATACCAGGTCTCAAGTTTAAAGATGCAAAAAGATTGCTGTGTTTTTACCATGTTGATGAATATGATAACAACAATGTTAAGCACAGATTTATGCACGTCACTTTAATATATGCATAGTTTTTGCTCTCCAATTGTAATTGGGTATATTTTATTGTTTTACACACTTATATTTTTATTTTTCTATATGAACTACATGAACATCAACATCAACATCAACAACACTTTTATCCCAAATTAATTGGGGTCGGTGGTAGATGAACCCACATGAAAGATACAAAACGGTTGAAAAAAAGTAAAAAAAATAAATAAATAAATAAATAAATAAATAAATAAAAATACACAAATAAAATAATAAAATAAAATAAAATGAAATAAAAATATATGTATATATAAATAAATAAAAGTAAAAAAGAAAGGGACAAGAAGAAGTGGGGGAAATGAAGGGGAAAAGGACTAAAAAAGGACCATATGGAACATAGGAATAACAGCGAGTCTAACCCTCCACCATACTTATAGCTTTTCTCCATTCCTTTCTAAGACATACTGTCCGCCAATCTATATCCCACTCCATTAAATCTTGTTTTACTACTTTCCCCCAAGTAAGCTTCGGCCTACCTCTGCCTCTTTTTGTGTTTAGCTCTTGGTAACAAACTTCTGTTCTTACAGGAGCATCCATGGGTCTTCTCATCACGTGCCCAAACCACCTCAATCTATGTTCTCTCATCTTCTCGGCTACCGGTACTACTCCGACCTTTCGTCGAATATCTTCATTTCTTATCTTATCCATCCTTGTGTACCCACACATCCACCTTAACATCCTCATCTCTGCTACTCTCATCTTATGCTCATGTTGCCTATGTGCTGGCCAGCATTCCGCTCCATATAGCATTGCCGGTCGTACTGCCGTTTTATAGAATTTTCCTTTTAACTTCAGGGGAATTTTGCGGTCACACAAAAATGCAGATGCACTACGCCATTTCATCCACCCTGCTCTGATTCTGTGATTTACATCCTCATCAATCTCTCCACCATTTTGTAAAATGGAGCCCAAGTATTTAAAAGCATTTTTTTTGGGTACCTCTTGACCATTTAGATGCACAGGTTCTTGGTCCTCATCTTGTACCAGAGAAAACTCACACTTCAGATACTCAGTCTTGCTTCGACTTAATGTGAATCCTCTGGATTCCAATGTGCTTCTCCACAATTCAAGTTTTCTATTAACACCCTCCTTGCTCTCATCAATGAACATAAATGAGAAATATGATTCAGTTATTATTGTATAATAAGCATTTTTCATATATGATAAGGTCTGATATGGATATGGTCCAATCACTTACACAACATTAGTAAAAGGATATATATAGGGTTTTATTTTTCTCATGTTGCATGAGACAAATTGTCTAATATACAACACAAAAAGTGGGTTGGATCCACTAAAAAAAGAGAGAGAAAATAAAAGTAGGTCCCACTCATTTTTGTGTGTGTTGCATGAGACAATTTGTCTCATGAAACATGCGAAAAATAAAATCCATATATATATATGGTTCATTTTTTCTACTGTCAATGGAGATAACTTATCTATATTGAGTCCGAAACTTCGTCGTTTTAAGACGGAAATCAAGGTATTTTTGTAATTATAATTTCTTTCAGGGTTATAATAGTCTTTTTCATTATAATTTTTCAACTCAAAACGATATCGTTTTGGGAGCGAATGTAGATAAGTTATCTACATTCACTGTAGAAACATTAAAGCCATATATATATATATATATATATATATATAGGGATAGGATCCGTTTACAAATTTTTTTTTGCAAATTACACTAAGTACGACCGGTCGTACACTGAATGATTAAAGTATGACCGGTCGGACTTAGTGTAGTTTGTAAGAGTTTGTAAACAAAAAAGTTTGTAAATATAACCTGCCCCATATATATATATATGGATTCGCTTTTTCTGCATTCACTGCAGGTAAATTATCTACAGTAAGCCCAATACAACGTCATTTTGTAGCGGAAATCGTTGTATTTTTGTAATTTTAATTTATTTTAGGGTTACTATAGTTTTTTATAATTATAATGTTTTAATCTTTCAATCCCAAAATGACGTAATTATGATTTTTTAATCTTTTAATCCCAAACGACGTCATTTTCGGAGTAAATGCAATGACTATATATATATATATATATATATATATATATATATATATATATAGGTAGGATCCTTTGACACCAGTGTCAAATTTGAAATTTGACACCTCATCTGGAGCCATTAAATCAAAAAAGATCAATGGTGTCACATGCTTATAAATCAGAGTCATTGATCTTTTTTGATCTAATGACTCTCAGATGATGTGTCAAATTTCAAATTTGACACTGGTGTCAAATGATCCTGCTTATATATATATATATATATATAAATATATATATATATATATATATATATATATATATAGAGAGAGAGAGAGAGTCAGGATCATTTTACACCAGTGTAAGTTACACTCTCAATCTTGACCACTGATCTCACTCTCAATCTTGACCATTGATCCACTTGTATCCAATGGCTCAGATTACTAAAAAATTAGAGCCCTTAGATACAAGTGAGATCAGTGGTCAAGATTGAAAGTGTAACTTACACTGGTGTAAAATAATCCTGACCCTATATATATATATATTTATATTTATATATATTCCTTGCATTTTAAGGAGAAGGAGAAAAAAATATTAGGGTTTTCTAACTTGAAAGAAAATTTAATGCAGCCATAAAAAAAAAAATTAACGTCAATAAAGGTGGGAACAATTAGCTAAGGATTTGATTCATATTCCATAAGGGTGTGGGTTCAAATCCCGCTATGTCAGGATTTTGTTGTCTTTCCTAACCTTGCTGGGATATAATAATGTTTATCTTAGACTATATTCAGATTTAAAAAAAAAATGGTCTGTCATTTTAAATAACATACCTTGTATCTTTTCACTCTCATAAAGAGGTGAGACTCATATCTTTAAAAAAAATTTCACCTATTTTCTCTCCCATAATTTATCTCTTTATCTCACTTAAAATGATACAGCTTTGTATCCTTTAAAATGATACATATTTTTTCCTTAAAAAAATATAGTGTAATTTTGTTTTCTTTTGTCTTTATTATTTTTCATCTGCAAAGAAAAATTAGAAAGTTCTTCAAATATGGCGTACAACGTTTTAACCCTACCCGTTGCTGTATTGACATGTATAAGTTAGTGTGAATTTTAAATTCCTCACGCTCTCAGAAAACTTGGCTCCGCCAATATGATGGGTGTGGTTGCTAAAATGCATCTTATGGTTGCGCCATTATTAGCTAAATGTGATTATTACGGAGGTTTTGGACCAACCCACACAATATAATTATGTGTATTGATCCGGGAACTATCGTATACAATAGCAGTTGGGTCTACTCTCTTTAATGATACTTATCGTCAAACGCAGCAAACGCACCAAGGACTCTGAAGAATACTCTCTCTCTCTCTCTCTCTCTATTAGTGTTTTAATATATGTGGGATAGATAAATAATGGATTTATTATTTTTTATGTTGTATAAAATAAATTTATCTTCTATATATATAAAAGTATATAGCATTTATGTTTTTCCTTTCTCTCTTTTCTTCTCAGATGGACCCACATGAGCCCTATATATTTTTATGAAAAAAGTGTTTGTTATTTTAAATGACACAAAGTTATATTATTTTAAGAAAAAGATAGACACAAAATAATTTATTTTTTTAAATTTAAATTAAAAAAACACTCACTTTCTCTCTCATGATTTTCATTCACTGTGTCTATCTTTCTCTTAAAATGACATAATTTATGTCATTTAAAATAACAAACATCAAATCCTATTTTTATGTAAGTGTAGGCTCCAACAATATGAAAAACATTTATCCCATAAATAATTGAGAGGCCTTAAATTGTAAGTCATTATTGTTAGCAAAAAAAAAAAAATTTGATATATTATTATTTTAATAAAAAATTAAGAAATCA